CTTTCATTTTGACGTGTGCCTATATACCCAATCATTAATGAGTTGATTAATTTTTCAAGTTAACTATAGCATTGTGAGATATACAGATTAAACAAAATTTAATTTAATTAACAATATGTTAAAACTATTACCAAATTATTAACATTATTTCTGATAAGCTTTTAACCGGACTTTTTATTTAACAACAACGAAAATTAACTATATCCGAGTTAGTTATAATAATATTTTACTGTAAGTCAATAGCAAAATTTTATTCATTTCACGAGATTTTCTATTGTTTCGTATTATATTTAGTATAAGAAATATAAGCTATTATAGTAAAATAGGCTGGGAGATCAAAATCCCCTTAAAAATGACTCGTTATAGCACGCCAATATATTTTTTTAAATACTTAAAGTTCCAACAACGATAAACTATTGTAAAAATATAATTAATTTTGAATAATATATTTTTTGAATTACGGCAAGATGAAGAATCAATTTTAAAAAAATTTTTGAAAATAAATGATAGACGCATGGGATATCCCTAATCTTGAATTTATCTAAAGAAAGGTAGTAAGCCGAGGCGAAATGGAACATGAGATACAAACTAGAGTTGTTGAAAACTTCGATTTAGACAATGACATATATAATACCTAGACTGACGATTCATTCATTAAAAGTGTACATCAATGCGAATCAGCTGGAGACGCCATCTTGGTTACACTAATCATTATTAAAATTTTAAACGAGAACCTAATTTATTCCTATATCTGATGCAAACTTTATTAAAGAATTACCGGATCATCGAGATGATAAGGAAGCAAGTTATCAATTTAATAGTAGTTTTTAACATGATTATAATCACTATATGTGTTACCAAAATGGCGGATCCAGCTGATTTGCTTTTAACGACGCTTAAAATGCATTTTAATGAATGAATCGTCAGTCTAGGTATAATATATGTCATTGAATTTAGATTATTTTTGAAAAATGCCTAAATCAAGATATTAGCCGAATAAATATTATATAAGCCTTAAGATTTAACAAAAAGGTAGAGAGAAAGTTTTGTCCCCTTTTTTAGCAAAATCAGAATCTTATTAATTTTATTATAAAATATAAATGTTTTTTTTATCTTATAATATTGGAAGATTTTTCAAGACTAAAATGAAACCCATAAAGTTATTATCAAATGGAAGTTTTCTATCACATACATAACATAACAATCAATATATTTTTTTATTATGATAAGATAAAATAATATAGGATAATATAGATATATTATTAATACAAGTAGTTTTTAGAATAATTTAAAAGTAGGGCACGATGGAAAAAGGCACTCTGTAATCACAGGAATATTATTATTATTCCCCATTATCTTTTTTTGGATTAAATTTAACATAATATGATATTATATTCGAAACAAACTTATGATTTAGAGGTTATTTATATGGACAGGCTTTATAAATTTAATTTATATTTGTACTTGAAAATAAATTTTTCATAAAATAAGATTTTTTGTCTAATTTAAATGATTAATTGGTAAGGCGATCAATAAATTTGAAGAACTCCTAGAGTATTTTGAAAATTTAAAAAAAAATATCTAAAAAAGAAGAAATCATTTTAAATTGTTTTTAAAAAAATGGGTCATTTTCAAAAATAGCAAAAGTGACGCCAAATTGTTTTATTTCTTGTTAATTTTTCAACTTAAATTATTTCTTGAGCACGTTATTTTAAATTTAAAAATCTGCTTTTGCCAGTAGACAATTGTTATAGCGAATATTTATATTAATTTTTTCCCATAATTTTCCGAATAATTTAATATTAAAATTTCTTTAAAAGTTTATATAAAATTGCCTGAAATTTATTGGATGAGCCTTCTACACATATTAGAATACATTTTGGACAAATCAGATTTTAAATTTAAAAAAATACGATCAATAAAGGAATTAAAAATAACGAAAAATTAAACAACATTCATCAAAAACTATCTCCTTACTCATTAATTTTATATGTTCCAATAGTCCATGGCTTCTGTTTTAAAACCTGTCATGTTCTTAGATCTTCCATGCTTTTTGGAAAACTGGGGCTGTTGTCCTTTTTTCTACTACTCTTATAATTTTATTTAAAAAATATATATAATTTTTCAATTCATAGGATGTTTTGTAAACTTTTGATAAGCTCCTTTTTTCCATTTTTTAAAATTAAATTATCTTTGCATGTTAATTAGCGTTTGAATTCTCTTTTTTTTCAACACGGAGGATCAGAAAATATAGACATCCTCAAATTACAAACAAAAGCTAAATATAGCATTGGAAAAGGAATATATAAGACGAATAAACAAAATTTAATGGCAAATAATATTGACAAATTTCCATTGCTAGTATGTATATATAAGATGAAACCCACATGGCAAAAAAGTACAATTCGCATCAGGGCAGATACCCCAGATTGAGTGAGACTATCGACTAGAGTTCTGCAAGAGTAGGCCTAACCCGCCCGGCCCGGCCCAAACGGGTTTCGGGCCGTGTTCGGGCCTAATATTTTTTCAAAAAATTCGAGCCGGGTAGGGCGGGTCTTGGAATTTTTTTTAAATATGTCTAAATTTATCAATTTTATATTGAATTTTTTATGTAAAATAAAAATATTTGATTTTATCCATAGAAACTAGATACCATATAATATGCCGTTTATTTTGAGTAATTATAAAAATTAATTTCTATATTTAAATAAATTCGGGATGGGTCGGGTCGGTAAATTTTTTTAAAAAAATTTTGGGTTCGGGCCGGGCCGTCTAAACTTTTGTAAAAAAAATTTCGGGCCGGGCCGGGCCAGGTTTGAAAAATTAGGCCCGATGCAGATCACTACTACCGATTGTATTTATAAAAATAAAATATATCCCTTTCATCAAATTTTTACAGAATCTAACGCAATCTTAATTAAATCTACCACAAAGTCTCCTACATTTTTATTGAAAAATAAAAAATATTTACACATAAAAAAGTGTCTTTTTATATCAGGTAGGTTCGGTTTTACATGTTTTAAAATTTTATTATAATGGATTCTTCTTGATTAAGTTGAAAAAAATCAAATATTTCAATGTGATCAACGATTTATGATTTATTTAAACAAAAATTCGGCAAGTTTTTATAAAATATTTCCCTTTTTGTTGATATATATTTTTTTAAATAATTACCTTCAATCTTTAATAAAAGGTGTATTTCATCATAATTCCTAGCATAAGTTCGCGTTTTTATATAAAAAAAATATTATTTTAGCTTAATATATTTTTAGATAATTTTTGTACCAAATAAACACGCCAAAATTATGGGCACTAACTTTTTTAATTTAATGAACATATAAACCGAACGCTAATGTAATTTGTTATTATAAAATAGCTTATTTTTATGATGAATAAACCAAATTTCAATTGATTGAACGTATTCATAATATAGTTTAAAAAATATAAATACTTAAGAATAAAATCACACTGTATATTTTTCCCAAAATATAAAATTATTTTACCTGAAAACTTCGTTTATCACATAAATAAAGAAAAAAAGAATATATATATCATCAGTGATCAATCCAGAATCTTATTTCGGAACCCGTTTAAACGGGGTTTGTGTCTTCAGACCCTCCCACTCTCCCCAAAGTAATCGGGGATCAATATCGCCCTTTTTGGGCTCACATTAAATTTAAGCTTTTCTACTAATACACTAAAATAAAATTTTATACTATGATCAATTCAATATCACTTACACTTGGGTTTGGGTAAAGTTATTTTAATCTAGCTCCCAACCAGTTAACCAGTTATTGTTCAGTCGAATCATTTAAATACTTCATTTATCTTATATCTTTCGTTGAAGATTTTTGTAGTTTATAATAAGATTTTAAATGATTATATAAGGTGAAGTTATACATTAGTAAATCATACTAATGTTTTAGGTTGGTGAAAATAAAGGAGTAAGGAAAAAGGATGGATGTTTAAACTGAATTTATAAATAAATGGATATGAAATACTTGTGCTAAATGAAAACCGAAAATCGCAATATTATTTATGAAACATTTAAATTTTTTCACTACGGGACTCGTCCCATCCCTAAAAGTAGTCCCTTAAATAATCCCAGTGGCTTCTACATTCCCTAAACTAATGACGATATTAGTTACCCCCCCCCTCATTTTATTGCCCTATTCTCTAAATTATACCCCCTTGCCCATCCCCTCCCAATTCGAACCGAAATTAGAAAAAAAAATAAGAAATTCAAATCAAAATCAAAATTTGCAAAAAAGAATAATCCAATTCAGAACTATCCCCCCTCCCTTACTACAATTTTATTCAAATGACTATCGCATCTTCTTATTTCTCCTTTAATTTGAATGATGATCTTACGTCAAATGCACCCCACAGAAGTCCTTAAATATACTACTGTAACTAGTTTTTTAACCAAACGGACACAATTTTTAATTTAAAAATATCAATGTCATTTTTCTTGATTGACGTGTAAACCTTTTAAAATGATAAATTATTTGATTTTTGAACTTTCCAATTGTTTTTGATTTTTTTTTAAAAATAAATATAATTCAGACATTTTATAAATACCTATCTTCCAAAAGCCAAAATAATAACAAATATCTTAAGAATTTAAATAATTCATTTTAGCTTATTCAATTTAAACGAAAAGTAAGAAATAAACTATCAATAATATCTTTTATTTGGCTTTCAAAACATATATATATAAAAGATTTAAATTTGTCAAACCAAAATAAAAGGCATTTTAAGTTCATATTATATTTTAGAATTTCAATTTTATACTTAATAATTTAAAAAGTATAATTTATTAAAAATGATTTATAATAAAAACATATGTCAAAAAAATTAAGTTTAATTTTGAAGAGATGGAGATGATCTATTATTTTTTTTTAAACGGGAATATTTTTAAATTTATTTTTAAATTTTTTATGAAGTGTTTGGTAATAAAATAAATATGTTATTTATTTTTCTCAAATTATATTCTTCTCTCACTTCTTCATGATCTCTTATCTTCTGCTCATAAATTTTTAACTTTTTTATGAAATAAAATAAGAATGCAAATTATATAAAATACGTTTATAGTGTCATTTTTATTCTATTAAGTCAGAAAAATTTATTAACAAGATGGCATGTTTCAATAGGAAACTATTATCTTTCGCTATAGATGACATATTAAGCCAAAATAAGAGTGTTGCTAATAATGATTTTACCGCCGCCGAAAACAAAAACCTGAAAGATAATATGGATGATGATCAGTATCTACATAAATATCCAGAAAATCGCGTCAATCATAACCTTCCTAATTATCCAGTTAACCAAGTAGCACTTAACAACAATGATAATAATAAATTGATTTTCAACATTGATAGAGCTTCGAGTCACAATTACGAAAATTTCAAACCAGAAAAAATGAATAAAAATCTTATTTTAGCTAACCAATATTCATCGATATATTTCAATTTTTACAATTCAATTATGTCCTTCCAACAAGGTACTTATTTCAAATTTATAAAAATATATCACAAATATTTTGATACTTCTGCTCATTTCCCTAAAAGAATAATCATAGCAGATAGAAATATTTTAACGCCTTAAATCCTTCTCTTCAATCATTTACCAAAAAAATTTCCCGCCTCTTTATTAGTTAAACGAAGAATATAGTACTAAATAATATAAACAACTCATAGAGGGGAGCACATTTAGCTGGGTCAAATTCTTTTTTATACTGATATATTGTAAATCTTTTTTGGGGAAAAGGGAGTGGTGGGTATGCAGAAGAAAAATTTTTACTAGCTTAAAATGATATTTACGAGAACAGGCAAATATGCGATCTCGCTCTGGCAGGATATATATTATAGAATATATTTTGCACTGAATAATACTGTTTTGCTTAGTTTTTAAATAATTTATAGTATACATTAACAATGCTATCATTACCTTAATAATATAGTTATTTTGCATTAAACTTAAGATAATATTTTGTAGTAATGCATCAAAAGATATGGCTTTTCTTTATCTGTTTTTAAAATCATTTTTAACTTTTAACTCGTTAAATAGTTTCAGTTGTCAATTAAAATATCATTATAAATTATATGTATGAATTATAAAATTTTAATTTAATTTATAACAACTATATTAATCTTTTAAAAAAACTGATCTCGAAACTCGGCTAAAAACCATTATTTAATTAAATTTAAAAGAATATTAAAAAACTTTTATAATTTACTTATATCCAAATTCTTTCCTATTTTAAGATATTTTAAAAGTAACGAGTAGTCATTTTACTCTAACCCTCCATGTGGAGTGGATAAAGTTTTCTCAACAAAAAAACGTTTTATGAGTATCGTCGCGAGAATAAGCTCGATATCGTTTATCAAATAATACAAGAATGATATTGTGCTTACTATAAATGCAGCCTAAATTAATAAAATTATGAGAAATGATAAAATTCGCATAATTCACTAAGAAAGATTATTTAAGAATATTTAAAGAAAAAATCTAGCCGAGTCTTTTTTCATTCAATTCATATACTTTATATTATTCCAAAATATTTTGATATACATTTTTTAAAATATCCTTGTTAATTAGTTTATATCTATCGAATTTAAACAATATATATTATAATTAGTAATATCATATATTAGGGAGGATTGGGGCACAATGGCTCAAAAGATGAAGGAGGCCGGAGCATAATGACAGAGGAATGTTAGTCCACTCCATTTTATTTCATAACTATCATCATTTAAGAGTGGGTCTAAATCTTATATTATAGCTAATTATTTCATCATTGGCTAAAAAAAATTATTTTTTAATTTATACAAAAGCAAATGTGTTTTAGAATACTAAAAGAAACAAAAAATAATTTTAAACTTTATCGTTTAGATTTATAGATAAGGTTAAAATCTCAATAAGATTTTAGCAAAGTGTAAACTTAATTTTTTTTTAATTAAACAATTTTTCGGAATTATAAAACATAATTTAATATGACATTTAGGAAATTCTTTATGATTGGTCTGAGTACCAGGGCCTATTATTATTTTTGAATATTAAATATATTTTTATTAAACAAATGTAAATAATATAAATGAATATAATTATCCAAAATTTTTATAAAAAAAATATATAAAATATATAATTTAAATTATTTTTACTTTTATTTTTTTTAATCCTAAAGATGTTAAAAATTTATAATACTTTATTATTATCTATGATATTACCAATATATTAATATACTAAGGCCTCTAGTATATTATAACCAGAGTTGGGCAGGTCCACCGAAAAAAAAATCTAGATACAGATACAGATTCTTTGTTAAAAGATAAATCTTAGATACACATACTATTTTCAAAATATCAAAAAGATACAAGATAAAAGATACTTGTATCTTTTGCCTAATTAGAGTATCTTAAATACAAGATACTTTTAAATTATCATTATCAATTAATAGTTTATAAATTACAGTTTTTATTATTTATTTGTGAAGAACATAACATACGCATATAATATGAATGAATATTTATAATAATTAATAAAATATTTTATGATGAGTTAATTATAATAATCAGGCATTTTAATATTAGTAATAAATAGCCCATTCTTAGCATAGATAGGGAAGGGAGACTAGTATTTTTAATGGGAGTTGAAATATTAATTTGCAAAAGTGTATTTAAAATAGATTCATTATTTTAGATAATCAAATTTTTCAAATAATTTATCATTACATTGCCTTTTTGGCCTACTTAACATTGTGCCAAAACTAAATTATCTTTCAATTGGAGCTGAATTATATTAATAAAAAATTTTCTTAATGAAAGGATATTTTAAGCATTTCGACTTTCTTTAATATAATTTAAAACCTCCAGTTCAATGTTATTTGTATTATTGAACTCAGAAAAATTTGCTTCACTAAGAGAAAAATAATCATTTTCTTTAATAGATGTTAAATCTATCTATTGGTGTTATAGTTTGAACTTGTATATTTAGGGGTTCTTTTATTAATATATTTTGAAAGTATTTGCTTTTATCATCTGACTCAATCCATTAAAATATGGATGTGATATTGATGTCAAAAAAGCCTCATTATATTCAAATCATAAGAAAATATTTTCTTAAAATCTATTGCCCATGCCACCTTAGGCAGCTTTTAATAAAGGTAGCAATATTGTAAACTTGAATATCTAAGATAACCTATGCCCCTTTTAACCACACATAAATAATATACTTTAATATGTTTAACAAAATTTGTTTTTAACCATTTATCATTTTTTTGTTTATACAGGTTTTACATCTAGCCTGTACGTTGTCTTTTTTAACTTTTATTTTTAAAAAATTTCCATATAAAATTTAAGATTTAGATTTGATTCGCGGGAACTTATTTCCATAATTTAAATTTTACTACCATGAATGTTAATCATTTTACAAATTAAAAAAAGGTTACATAAAATTGGAATGATATTCATCGAGTTACATATTTATATATAAAATATAATCTTTATTTCGTTTTGGTGTTGTTATTTTTTTATCTATCTTCCTTAATATGAATTGTAAATTTTCTAGCTAATTTTTAGCCATTATATTTAAAATATGGTGAAAAAAAATAAGGAAATTAATAAAGATATATACTGTGATATGTAAAATTTTAAACATGAATATTAAAAAGAATCTGTATCTGTATCTTTTTGTAAAGAAAATGAAAAAAAATACAAGATTCTTTCCAGAATAAAGGATCTTAGATACAGATACTAGTATCTTATTAAAAATGTAAAAAAGATACTGAGTACAAGATACAAGTATTCGCGTGCCCAACTCTGATTATAACAATATCAAAAATAAATTAATTTTTTATTTAGACTCTCATTTCTTTGGTATTGGACGAACTAATAATATGTGTTGAACCAACCCCAATTCATGAGATATGTTTGTACAAAATAAATTTAAGATTTATTTTTGAAGTTTAAAAATCTGTTAACTATTTTACCACCCCTACATGTTTATATTAAAATATGTAAATCTAATATTTGAAATTTAATCCTAATTGATAATTATGATAATTGACGTATCCTAGATCTTATTTCATAACCTATCCAAAAACGCTGCTAACTGTGCCTCTTAGACCCCCATGGGAATGAGCATCACTTTTATCTAATAATAGCCGTTATATGGATTGATATCACCCAAGGGATTTGTGTAAAGGTAGCTTTAGCTTAGCTTTCAATAATGTACATGCTTAAATGAATGAGTGGTCCTGTGGACGAGAGAGAGGGTCTTGAAGTAAAAAAATTATTTTTACAATAAAAAACAAATGTTGCGAGACTTATAAGTTAGTAAAACTCTTTCACATTCATTTTATTTATAAATTTTGTTAAACATCATTCTTAACTATTTTTTATTCATACAATACCTAAAACAATAGTATACATACTCTAGTATATAAAGTAAAATCATATTTCCAGAGAAAATACGACATTATTACATGGAATAACTATTACACATTTTGAGGCAAAATAATCAATATCTAGGTTTAAAAATAAGGTAACTAATCTATCTACCACTATGACCACTTAATCCCGATACCTAATTTCTTAATAATAATTAGCCCATCTTTAAAAAGATGAATTTGTACATCCCCTTTTATTACCAACCTAAAAAATGTAACCCTCCACCTCCTAAATATCTTTTACATAAGAAACAAAGTTTGCCTGCTCTGTTTACACTAGCCTTGCCCCTCCCCATGATAGTGTCTGCTTCTGCTTGAAAAGAAAATAATTCTAATTTAATTTTATATTTTTTACGAATATAAAATATTTTATGACATTTTTGCTGTCATCATATCATGTCAATTAAACCATTTTTAAAAATCATGTCAATGTCATTATATTATGAAAAATAAAAAAAAATCTTATTTTTATAATATTGTTAAAATTTGTTTTTGAAAATAACTAGTTTAAGTTACATTAATAAGAAGATCGCTAGTTACAAGTTACAATAATATTCCAAAATTAACTAGTTGCCAGAACTTTTAACATTTCTATAGAGACTTTAAATTTCTTTAAAAAAATTTGATATTTATGTTTAAAATATTTCATTGGGAACGAGAGCCTCGTTGCCCATATAACATCACTTTTAATATAATTTAAAAATAATTTCAAGATTTAAGAATTTAACGTAATTTTTATGAATAGGCAATTTAAATAAAGAAAAATTGACCTACAGCGTAATATATTTTTTTTCATAGAAGTAAATGACCACAATGTTAAATTTATTTGCGAATAAAATATCAAAATATAACATATACTACCACCGAAAAAAATAGATAATTATTTTTCCAAAAAATGGCTCTTTTTATAATAAACTATTTTGAACTGATTTTAAAAAAATGTGCTAGTTTTTCTCCAAAAATAAGTTTCCTAACTAAACAAACGTACTACTGGAGTGCTCCATTTAATTGAGACATTATATGGAAAATCACCATATAAAGATAATGGATATGTA